GCAGAGGGAGCCAGCACGGCGTCCGCCCCTCTAAGATAGCCCACGTGGTCAGAGCACAGCCAACTCTGAGCGCGGGTCTCCTCCCGATCTAGGAGGCCTAGGCCTTTCTGCTCCCACTGGCGACCGCCCTCAGTTCTCCAGTTTATCCTTACCAGACAAACTCCGTAGGGCATTTAATTAAATATCTATTGTGTAAAGTGGTGATAGGTGTGAAAACAGCGGTGGGGGGGGTGTGTTTCTGTGAAAATGGAAGGAAATGCTCTGCAAACACCCAAATAGAAGTCACACACACACACACACACACACACACACACACGGACATACAAACAAAAGGAAAAAAAGAACAAACTGCTGAACTGGTATGGTGGTGTGGCCAGGAAACTATATGGAAGGAAGGAAGAAAGGAAAAAGAAAAAACAAGAAAGATAAAGATGAACAACCCAGAAAGGGGCTAGCCCAGTAGCCTAGTGGTTAAGGGAGCCAGCTCCCACATGGCCACGCACGGTTCAAATCCCAAACCTGGGGCTTGGGAAAAAACCACCAGGTGTATATGTGTGCATGCCCCCAAATCTGAACAGGATGGGAAAATGGAGAAGAAGGGATTGTGGCATGACCACGCCCCATTGGGGGTGCTTTCTCCCTTCCATCTCTAGTTAGTTATGAGGAAAACACAAGAAATCAACAAGTTGTACAAACGTGAATTGTTCTACTCTGATTAAAAATACACCACGTTTATTTCATCAGAAAGTTATAGTTGCCAAGTATGATTTTTCTCGGTCTAGTTTCTCTGCTTTTTATTGTTATAGCCTCAACTGCTGGTTCTGTTTTTCTTCAGTCTCCAGTAATGTAAAAGAACACAGAAGGCATCTCTAGTCACTGCGCGATTAATTTACGGTTTTCAACCAAATCTCATCTCTTCTTTGTCCTCTTTGTATTTAAATTTATCTGTGTGGTCATGGCATATATGATTTTTCTTACATTAAAAATTTTATTTTCCGGGACCAGCAGTTAGCATAATGGCTATGTTGCTGGCCTCCCACGTAGTCGACCATGGTTCGAGTCCCAGACATGGTGGCTTAAAACTCACACTGGGTGCGTGTGCGTGCGTGCCCAAGATCCCGAGAGGAGAATGGAAGAGAAGGGATTGCGGCATGGCCATCCCCCCTGGGGGGTGATTTCTCACTGTCTCTTCTCTTGGGAAAACACACGCCCCAAAAAAAAAAAAAAAAAAAAAAAAAAAACCTCTCCCCAAAAAAAGAAAAAAAAATATTTTCCAACAAGTCATCAACATGAATCTACTGTTTACTTCTTTTCTTATCAGAACCTCAGCTACTCTGAGCCCTAGTTAAATCCTGCTTTCTAGGGCCAGTGGCTAGTGGTAGTTAGGGCACTTTAGTCCTACATGGCAGATTGTGGTTCAAGTCCCAGATCTGGCAGCTTGAAAATCATGCTTGGTATGTGTACGTGTGTGCTCAAAATCCCAGGAGAATGGAGAAGGGACTGCATCATGGCCATCCCTCCCAGGGGGAGATTTCTCACTTTCTCTCAGTCTCTCTCTGGCTCTGTCTCTATTCAGCAAATACTCACTTCCCATAACAAAAACCTTAAAAGAAAAAATGAACAAACAAAAAAATCCTATGTTCTCTGGCATCATCTTGCACATCAAAATTCTACATAAACTCTTTCATCTTAAGAGTTTCATTCTAGGGAACCAGCAGTTAGCGTAATGGCTATGTTGCTGGACTCCCACGTAGTCAACCGCGGTTCGTGTCCCGGGCCCGGTGGCTTAAAACTCACGCCGGGCGCGTGTGCGTGCATGCCCAAGATTCCGAGAGGAGAATGGAGAAGGGATTGCGGCGTGACCATCCCCCCTGGGGGGTGATTTCTCGCTTTCTGTCTCTATGTCTCTCTCTGTCTGTCTGGCGAGCGCATGCGCCCTATAGCAAAAACCTCTCCAAAAAAAACAAAAAAACAAAAGAGTTTCATTCTAAGCCATTGCCCCATGGCAATCACTATCTTTGATAATGATACCCTAACACTTCTATAGGATCTGTACTTATTCTTATTTTCTCTTTTTTTTTTTCAAAATAGGACTCAAACTCTTTGCCTCAGTGATATAAATATTCTAGAATCATTTGATTCATAGAGTGGACCATTATTTTGGGGCCCTGGCTAATGGTGCACTAGTAAAACAGGATGCTCTAGGAGGCAGACCCACAGAGGAGGGCTCTGAGTTTGTATCTAGAGACCCCCTGAGGACACTGGGCACGTATGCACCCATGATCCTGGACTGGTTGAGGGTGGGGTGGATTGTGGTGTCAAAACACCAATGAGGGTTCTTTCTCTATCTCTTCAATTCATGGAAAAAATAAACTTAAAACTAAAAGAATATTATTCTTGGAAGGGCTATGTGAGTTGGGAAGGGAATACACAAAGCTTTTAAATTCCTGATGATTAAGATATATATATATATTTTAAAATTACCTAGAAAGAGTATGCGATTCTTGAACAAGTTTATTTTTCAAGTGTTTATTGAAAGTATAATTAATGACAGAAACAACCTTTGACCAAGTCCATCTATGCTAACTTTTAGGAGGGGCAGTAAACTGGTAACAGACTTGTTTAAAACAATTACTACGGGCTGGCAAAGTGGTGTGGTTGAGACGCCGGAATCCCACATGTTTGACCTAAGTTCAAATCCCAGACCTGGCATCCTGCTTTCTCACTTTCTCTTTCTGTCTCTGGTCAAATAATTCTTTTAAAAACAAAACAAAACAGTCTACTGCTTTGTAAGAAGTGAGAACTTGAGCCAGCAGGTGGTATGGTGGTTAGGGGCGCTGGATTCCCACATGGCCAACCGCGGTTTGCTTGCTTTCTCATTTGCTCTCTTTCCTCTTTTGCTCTGTCCCTCTCTGGTCAAATTAAAATAAATAAATAAAGTTAAATAAAAAATTATTCTAAAAAATAAATACAATAAATAATCCTTTAAAAAAAAGAAGTGGGGACTCACAAGTGGCAGCAGTGCAGTCCTCAGGCTGTGTGACCCGTGCGGCTGCTCAGGTCATTATCAGAAGGGCCCCAGGCTTGGCTGAACACTACAGTCCATTTTCTTGAAATCCCCTTTAGTTTGTGCACAGAGGATCTTGCATTTTCCTTTTTGCTAGGCTGTGCGAAATATGCTGCCGGTCCTGAGAGATGGGCAACTCTTAGGAGTACAAGCAGTCCTCAGCTTACAGCGAGGTGGTGAAGGATTTTACGATTTTTCTATTTTCTATTGCTGAGAGTGATATGGTCATTCTTCAATAAAGTACATGAATTATTCAATATTGTAAGATAGACTTTGCATTAGGTGGTTTTGCCTAACTGTAGGCTAACATCTGTGTTCTAAGCATATTTATGTATTTATTCATTCAAGATTTTTGCCATAGGACATGTATGCTCACCAGAGAGAGAGAGACAGTGAAAGGGAAAGTGAGAAGTCACCCTCAGCAGGTAGGGGCACTCCCATAATCCATTCTCTCCCATTCTCTTCCTGAGCTTTTGGGCATGCATGCACATGTGCCCGATGCAAGTTTCAAACCACTGGGTCCAGGACTCGAACCATGGTCAAAGATATGGGAGTCCGGTGCCTTAACCACCATGCCACTTGCTGGCCCCCTGAACATATTTAAAGTAGGTTAGACTACAATACCTAGGTCAATAAGTTAAGAATATTAAATGCATTTTTGACTTAATGACATTTTCAACTTATAATGGGTATATCAGGCTATACCCCATCATAAGTTGCCGAACATCTATCTGTATTTCTTTGTTTTTTTCCCCTTCCCTGATGACTTCACTTAGCATCACTGCTTTCAGGAGTAACATACTATCAGTTGAGCACGGCTCAATACTGCAGAAGTGTTTGCCAATCAAGAGTTCTCTACAATGAACTAAATATTTGGTAAAACGCTGAGATGTAGAGACTACCTATTGACATTCTTAAAATACAGATCCTGTGCCATTTTCCTGATGTTCACACTGCCCAACACCAACTTACTTA